AAAATTAAAGATTTCTGGAATAATAATGAAAAAAAACCACCCAAAAGAACCAAATTGAGGTGAGGAAATTAAAAATTTTATGGGAAGAAATTTTGATGAAAGATTTAGCAAAGGAAGAGAAAAAGTTAATTAAGAAAATTGATAAGGTTAAAAATGAAGAAAAAGAAAGAAAAGAGCAAGAAGAAACATCACGAAAAACTGAGGATTTTCGCAAAAAAGCAATAAAATCTATCGATGATTACTGAATTGAAAAGGTTGGTGGAGTTGATGAAAAAATTAATGACAAAGATAAGAACGGCGTCATTTCTTTTTATATTAACCTCAAAAATGGCATCTCTTTTGAAAATTGCTAGTTTATCGTCACCCTTAGGTATTTCGCCATTTTTGGCACTTCTTTTAGCCGTGATATCACTCAACACTCGGAACTTAATAGCATCAATTTCTTTTTCTCCGGTAGCAATTATCGTATTTCAAATTTGTTCTTGCCAATTGCGATTATTTGCTGACAATTCCTCACTCGTTATTGCAGGGCTTTGATTAAGAGCTGTTTCAATTTCACTCTTGGCTTGCTTACGATAGTTTTCAATTTCTCGGACACGTTGTTTTAGTTCTTCTTCATTTTTACCTTTGTTTGGGTCGTTATAATCGTTTCCATACTCATTACCAGTCGCCTCTAACTGTGATTTAAGTTGTTCCATATGATTTATCAATGTGGTAATTCACGGAAGAATTTTTTCATTAAACTCCTTATCGTTTTCTTCAATTTTTTTTGCCATTCTCGTTTCATCAAGCTCCGCTCATATTGTATTATTATGAACTTTTCAGTCGGCTATATCACCATTTTTTTCGTGAAGTCTTGAATAAATTGAAGTTCAGAGGTTTAAATTAACTTTTTTATTTTTCGCTATTTCTTTTACATACTCATCACTGCTATAATATTCATTTGTTCCTGGTTTTTTTCTACTTCAAAAATAATCTTTTAATTCCACAAACTTTTTGGAAGTTTCGTGGTCTCTATATTTATCATTTTGTTTGCTGATGGTTGTCTCTATTCCATCAATTGTTATATTTCCTATATTGTCCTTTTTTATTACTATTACCATGTTATTTATGTATATATTTTTAAGTTGTTATTATGACTAATTTTACTAATTTATTTTTATCCTTGTCAATTTAATTCTAATAATAAATATTTATCTTTACTATAACTAATTTTGGCATCATTAACTCTCCTTAATTTATTTTATATAATATTATTATTTTTACAGTCATACCCATTTATCAAAATATGGCACTCTGGCTTTTTTTACCTATATTCTACCAATGTATGTATCAAAGGTTTTTCCTTACTTCAACTTTTTAATAACTCTTCTTCCATATAATTTTTAATTTCCTCACCTCAATTTGGTTCTTTTGGGTGGTTTTTTTTCATTATTATTCCAGAAATCTTTAATTTT